TTCTCACTTTCTTATTTAAGGTTAAATGTTTAATTTAAAAAATGGGTAGTAATATAATGACAATTTTTTATATAATTTTTTGTATAATTTTTTATATAACTTTTATATGTTATTAAATAAATAAATGTACTCAATATCACATGTTACAAATGAATAAAAAAAGTTAATAATTTAAATAACATATAAAATTGTACAAAAATAATATAAAAAATAATTTTTGAATTTTTTTAAAAAAAGTAATTAATTATAGTGTAAAAAATTATTTCTACATATTTCTAAATAAGTTTAATTTAGTTTGAAACATTATAGTTTTTTTTTTTGTTTAAATTCTTGTGTTCAATTCAATTAGTGGTTTTAGTTTTTTACACTGTAATTAATTTTTTTTAATTCAAAAAAATTTATACTATTTTTTTGTATAATTTTATATTTTATTTAAATAATTGACATTTTTTATTCATTTGTAACTTGTAATATTAAGTACATTTATTTATTTAATGACATATAAAAATTATACAAAAATTATACCAAAAATTATATAAAAAAATTATCTCTAAATTACTACCCATTTTTTAAAATTAAGCATTTAACCTTAAATAAGGAAGTGAGAATATTTCCCTCCCATTTTTAAGCCACATGTTAACTTAAATGGGCCACACAATGGCTTTCATGGCACCACACAATTAAAATTGGGAAGTTCCGTCAATGTAGTTAATGGCGTTGCATAAGGGTAGATGAAAATGAAATAATTTTGAAAGTTAGTAGATGAGTTTGAAAGAAAACAAAGATTCTAGATTAAAATGAAAAAAGAGTAATAGTTAATAGATGATTTCTTAATTAAGCCGAATAATAATATAATAATAAAAAGGAGGATGGCCCCCCGTTTTCAGCCTTCCCCCTCGGTCGCCGTCCATCCAAATATCGACCCCATGGCCCCCAGTCATCAGGCGTCCTCGCGGATGACAGATTCCCGTCCTTTGCTTTCACCTTCAAACAGTAGGTTCTGTCGGAGAAAGGAGGTTGGTCAAATCCGAATTGTTGTGATCTACGGTGGGAAAGAAGAGAGAGATAGATCCGAGGGTGGGTAGAATTTTAGAGTTTTGATTTGTTTTATTTTTGTCTAGGCCTATAAATCGGGGGATTCAGAGAGAGAACAGGAATTTTTCGAAATTTCTTCGGGGTTTTTGGGAGGAACAGAGGAGAGCGAGAATAGCGAATTCCGGAGGAGAGTCCGGCGACGTTTTTGGCTCACCTAGTTAGGTAACTTCCAGATCCGACCAAATAAGGGGCGCCTTTGGGTTTTTGCCTTCGGAACTGCCCCAAAATGGTGTACCCGGAAGCATGACGACCAGAAAGCTCCTTTTACGTGTATGCTTGTTGGTTTTAGTTGCAGATCCGTGAATTTTGAATGTGTGTTGATGAATTTTCCCCTTTCATGTACTGTGGATTGGAAAATATTGAGTATACATGCCAAATTTCAGTTTGTTTCCGTGTTTGTTTATCTTTATTAGCGGAGAGGGACGGAGACGGAGAGTGGTAGGGTCCCCTCCACTTCGTTGCTTCTCTGCGAGGGATTTTTCAATTCGTGAGGAATTTAATTTAGGATTTTTCTAACGGCACAGGAACACTTTTTTTAAATAAATTTATATAAAAAAATATAAAAATAAATATTAATTTTAGTTTTAATATTATATAAATAAATTTAATTACATA